CCAACTGCAACTGTCTACGGACTAGACTTAACACATCGGGGTTAACCTTGTGAGGTGGTGATGTCATTATACACAGCCAGTAATAAATATGCAACCAATCAATGACAAAAGCCACCATTTTGTCAACAATTTTTTATTACCGATTATTATCAACTTTATCGATTAGCTGTTGCAGCTCTCATTCTGACTATGAGCAACATCATAGTACCTAAATCATGAAAGGCAGGAGCCAACAGAGAGAGGAAATAAAGGGGTAAAAGGAGTAGCACACCAGCACAGGGGAAGGGGAGCGCAGGAACAGCACAGCTCACTGCAGCCAGCACCTCTAACACCAGGACGTATCTGACCATGACACTATCTTGACTATCTAGGGCACCAGAGTCTTACCTTAAACAAGCAGTAGTCACAGCCATATGCGAGCTTGCTTGGCTGCTGTATGTGATTGTATAACCTGGAAGAGGAAGAGAGCACACAAACCACGGTTAAAGGATATTATACAACAGCTAGTTCCAACCAAGATATCTGATTGGACAAGAGGCGTTCTCAGTGCTGTTATCAGAGTATAACCGTATTTGGACATTTCACATCACTCCGCTTTACAGGTCCATCTAAAAACCGTGATATTTAAATTTCAATGGTGCAAAGTAGTTGGGAGCAAGCAGTATGTTGTGTGGGACATTTGTGTTGGTTAGCAACAGTCAACAGTCCCTGACTGATGGAGAGAAAATATATATATATTGCAGAGGCCTATTAATGTTTAAATAATCAATCAAGCAAAATATCTGCTGTGACTAATTACTGGTACCTTATAAATGCCACTTGATGAACTGCTGTATGAAAGCGATAACATACTCAATGTCGTGCGCTCGTACTGATACATCACAGCTGTGATATCATCGGCACTAAGCAGGCAGCCTCATGCCTACAACTCAATAATAGCTGCGAGATACTGGAGTACAACCGCAGTCCCTCTCGTATGTTATTGCTTAAATACCTCAGGCTTTAGCCCTGTCCTGCCAGGGCTCTACCCAAGGCAGCTGCTGATGATGGATCTATACTTACGCCCAGAAGTCTTCCACTGTGTCAAACTTGGAAATGAGGCGCAGGTTCTCTGTCCAGCTTTTGCTTTTATCATTTTTGAAATACCAGAGAGCCCATCTGCAGGGGAGGAGAGGAGAAGCCTGAGAAGCTGGCATTGCGGGGGGGCCGCACAGGCTGCCGTGGTGCTGAAGCAGCGCCGTCCACTGCGGTTTAGGCAAACCAAGCAGGCGCACCTCATGACCTACACACATGCCTGCGAGCTGTAAGCACTGACCCACACTGACTTGGGGCAGCGGGCACAGGAGCCACTTGAGTATCCAGACCCGGTAGAGACAACAGTCAGTGTAGATGAGTGGCTAATTGAGGAGATGTGTCAGATAGTGTGCATAGTGTAGGGCCAAGCTCTGGAGGAGTCCAGTCAGCCAGCAGATATTGCTTATGGCGACCGTGTGGATGGAAACCTGTTCACTGAACCACCAGCTAATCAGCTTAATGCTCATTAATATACAACAACCATTCATGTGGGCCTTTGTGTATTCCCCTCTATAAACCAGAAGAATAAGTTCCATACATCAGGTGGAACAGACAAAAATAGGGGAACACCATAGTCAGGGGGATCTACCTGTTCTGCAGGGGGTGTTTGATATACTGTTCAGGGTTGGACACTGGAGCCAAAGAAGTCTCACTGCTGCCTTCCTCACTTTCGGGTCCACGCTGCTTGAAGAGGAAAAAAAAAAACATTTATACTCCTCAAGGAACAGAACAGAGATCATTTATTCATCCCTGTTGTCATCTTGGTCTCCGCTGCCCCATTTAGATCAAACACTTTTTTAAGCTTTGCTTAAATTAACAGAGGCAAAATCATCACTGTCCAAAGTATTACTTTAGAAGCTGATCAGAAATTCACTTTCATGCAGACATAGAATGCGATAAAATTAGTAGCATTCCCAAAACAAATTCTTGGGGAAATCATTTTCTCAGCTGTGGACTTAATTAAACATTTCTTAACTGTTACCAAAGTATTTCAATACCTGACCAAAATGCAACCAGAGTAAACAACTCCTTACAAAATTTAACAAAGGAAAATTCTTAGTAACTGTATATTAGTACAGTTAGTAACTGCCAAATGCTGCCTACTTAAATTGTCCTGTGCAATAGTGCAAATTTAAAAGCTGTTATTACATGAATATAATAAAAATGTTCATACCGAAATAAGCACCCACTGACAAAGCGAACCCATGTCACGACCATAATCTAACCAAACACCTTTGTACACATCCTGCGGTTTAACTGGGTCTGTAAGTACATGTCTGATGGTCTAGCTGGTCTATCATATGACCTGTGGCCTGACCATAAAATGACCAGCCCTTTGTATACACATCATATAATATGTCCATAATCTGACCAGACATCTGTGTACATGTCCCATGGTCTTATCGATATCTGACCTACACACTGCATATATGTTTCGTGGTCTGACCAGCCCTCTGCCGACACGTACCATGGTCAGACCGCAATTTAACTGGGCCTTTGCATATTCTTCCCGTGGTTTAACCGTAATCTGACCGGCTCTTTGGGTACACGTCACACTGTCAGACTATAATCTGGCTGGGCCTCTGCGTTCAGATTCCGTGGTCTGACCGAGCCCCCCGCGTGCTTTAAGAGTTAATTCAGACATATACTGGACAAAAATAGGGTCTGAAAATGCGCATCACGATTATGTTCGTTTTTGGTGGGAGCTCCTCGTCACCGGGACTCCTCGTTACCCAGCTGGTACGGCACACGTGTCTGGGTGTCCAGCGGCGCGGTAGCCGATACAGTCGGTCCGTGAATCCGCAAGTCCATCTTGCAGCCGCCGTACCGACAAACATCACAGAGACTATATGGCACGCTAAAGCAGCACCATGACGTGGCGGTCTCGGTCCCCGGCACCCCCTTCCCCTCTTGGCCGCCCCTTCAGTCGTCGTTAGCATGTAGCATTTTAGTGGAACATGCTGAATCTCGGAAAGCGCGGTCCGAGCGTCGCGCGTTCCCTTTAACGGTTAATCCGCACACGTGCACGTCAGTGCAATTAAGCCTGGGGCGGCCGCATGCCTTCCGCTCTGCCGGCGCGTGTCTCGGACATAGACCCTGCCGTACCCCCGTCTCTCTTACCGGCTCCGAGGTCGCCATCTTGCCTGTAACGCCGTCCTGCTCGGTAGGCGCCCGTGCGTCACTCGAGCACGCACAAAACTACGGAAGCCCGCAGGACCCAAAGACCCAGGACTGATTCACAAACATGAGAACATTAAATTCAAGTTACATTGTGATAGTCCCACCTTTACGGGTGGATGCAGTGGCGTAAACTTTTTGTAATGAGCCCCAGTGCAAGATTTTTTTTTTTTTTTTTTTGGGGGGGGGTGCTCTTTATTTCTGAATGTCCATTCATGCAAACAAAGCCTATGATGACCCTTATCGGTATTTTTATACTCTTTATATCTTGAAGTTTTATAGACTTGTCATAGAAAATAAAAATTTTAAGTTGGATACTCTGAACAAGACAGAATTGCCAGCCAGACAATATATGGTTTGGTTTCCGGCAGTTCATAATGCAAATTGACGTGTGTCGATAAATTAATGAATCAATAGCAGTGGTGGAAGAAGTACTCAATTGTCCTACTTATAGTCCGGATAACACTCCAAAATGTTACACTAGTAGAAGTCATCCAGTAAAATACTACTCCAGTAAAAATAAAAAAAATACCTTGTACTATACATTCAAATGTATTGATCTTACAAAAGCAGCCAGTTCTTTAAAATGCACTCAAGACAGGTTTGAATATAGCATTATAAGTGTGCTATATAGACAAATGAGTCGCATGTTTTCTTTTTATTCAGAAAATGCGGTGAATCGCACTTTCGAGCTTGCTGGCACAGATTGGCGGAATGACATTTTTATTCTGTGGAAAATGAAAGATCGAGCTACGGGCCATATTTGAGAATGAATTTTAAACATTTCCTCTTATAGGTGGTGAATGAGTATGGGGCGCCAAGTGCCAATAGCGCTCATTTTCGCGCACAAAATACATTCTGTGGCACAAAAAGGATTATTTAATGACGAAATGAAGTAATGACTTTTAGTTCACAATAAGACTAACTCTAGTTACATTTTGTCCATTAATTGTAAATGTAAAACTGACATAAAATAGTTAGAACTAAATCCCTGATAGACCTATTAGAAATTGGATTTTCAGATAGTTAAGATTCTATTTCTGTTACTGGTCTGTTATGACCAGTTACATTATAATTCCCGATATCAGAATTTGGTATTTAATTATCTTGTTAAATCAGAATTTCTGATATCAGAAATTAGAGTTACAGCTAGTTCAAATTCAGTGGCGGCTGGTGACAAAAATTCTTAGTGGGGCTGACGTACCAACTGATTTCCCTTCCTAGTCCAGTATAAGCAAAACATGGGTTTCTGACACAGAAGTCTTATAGCAATGACTGGTTTGGATGGTTGCCAACTCATAAAAGACAGAGGAATTACCACTAACAAGCATAAAATCAACAGACCAGGATCAAGTGCAAAATATAAATATATATTTATTTAAAAAACACCCAAAAGGTGGGCAATAAATGGGAATGGTACATTTTGTACTGTATGACTTGCAGGTCTGATATTTAATGTTATTGTACAGTAATTCAGTGTAAGCATTCCCAAAAGATGAAGACTGCTTTTTGAAAGAATGGAAGAAACTGCGGACTGTCACTGACTAAATGACCTAGACTATTTTACAGTTACACTAAAATTAGACTTTTTAAAAGCTGGTGCTGGAAAGGTCCACTTATGTTTTGACAGTTTTCAAGTTATACACAAGTACAGCTCAGATTTCTTCAAGTAAAGCAAGTAATTACAATAGTGTCCATGAGATAAGTATTTTACAGTGAATGGAAAAAGAAGACTCAGATTTCAGTCATACACTGTCACTGATGTTTTGTGTAGTATATCTGTTTACTTCATCACAATTTTATGCTGTGTCGATAGGAGCAAGTGAACAGCATCCTATTGGTGGATGGCATTGGCATTTTACAGGGCCCACAGGCAGGCTGTCTATACAGAATGTAGGGATAAGCAGCAGGGGAGATAGGAGCCCATCACATGACTCGAAGCTGGGAAATCTGTGGTATTAAGCACTGATAATGCCACATTGTGGTTAAATCCCAATCAAGGCTGATGTCCTGTTCAATGCTGACTATCATAAATCCATAGGAACACAGGAAAGCATATGAACAGGCTCATTGCAAAGAAAATGAAAGGCTTTAAATCCTAGACCAAAATCTTCATTTTTATTCATTCTTTTTGTTGCATCTGTTTTAGCTTATTCTGGGAGTCTGTGCATCCATTTCTATATGTCACAATGTCATCATTATATTGTTGGTTTATCTATATACAAGGTAGATATTTTACATGCCATATTTTAGAAGGTGCACTCTAAAAATAAACAAGGAATCTTGGACTGCTCCCTAGCAGGTATAGAAATGCTAGATGACAGGAAGTAAACTTCAGTTAATAGAAATAAACACAAACAAGGACCCCAGATTGACAGAGTAGAGGGAAAAACACTTTTCTCTTGGACACTTTGTCAGAACCCACTTCAAACTGACAGCTACACGTTTACTGTACAGTTTACACACAGACAGTATTCATTTGGGATTCTAATACAACTGCAAAAAGCAATAAAAGGAGTGAACAGAAATGTGAATAATTTATCTTTATCAATCAAAGTCAAAATAGCAACATGTCACTCAAAGGTAGAAAAAAAAAGACCTTTAGCAAACAAAATGACACACAAGAAGGCTAGGACGAGATGCAGGAGGTCTGGTGATGCCTGTGGCCCTAGACCACACATCTGCACCGGGCCAAAGCTTTGAAAAAGGCCAAAACCAGGAACTGAGAAAAGTGGCACCTTCCATCCACCTCATATCACATGATGATAGGTCTTACTTCCCAAGCAAAAAAATCAACCGCTTCTGTGTGTGGTATAAGCAAAAACAAACCCCATGCAAACGTATGAGCAAGACAAAAGCACCATATCTCATTAAAATCTTGCGTCTCAGCTGATGACAGAGCTCGTTGTATGCTTGGTACACTTTCTCACAGCCTTGATGCCATAGCTTAATTCTCATGAATGGATCCCATAACACCACAGCCAGGCACATGGGCCAGAGCTGGCATATAGCTAGCATGTCATTTATTCTTCATTCACCCACGCAACAGGCAAGAAGCTGCACTGGGATCAGATTACACTACCCAGGCAACCTTAGGCAGTGTGTTAATAAGCCCAGGTCACATGACACACCAATATCATCAGGCCCCTCAGACCTTCATTTCGAGCTCGGATGAGCCATTTTCCTCTCCTGTTCGGTCCCAGGTGCTGTTGTAGGAGGGGCCACGTAACTACAGGAAAGCTTCTGCTGTGATATGACATGGTCTGTTTTTCACCAGCTATCAGTGACCCAAGTAAACTCATCCACACACTTTCACTAATGCAGACCAGATTTAACAAAACGTACAGTTACGCCCCCTTTGACCAGAATAAAGAGGCAAATTTGTGGCAATGAGCACCATAGCTGAAGTGAGCAACGAAGCTGTCTCCTGTTCGACAGCATGCTTTTCTGTGCTCTGATCTCCACCACATAGCACCACGGCGAGACCATATACAAGCTGAATTTGGCTCAAACTCAAAAAGCACACCTGTCTTACATCCACGGAAAAGAATGCGTGTAAACAGCGCCTCGCACTCAGACTTCACTAAATGTGCACCTTGATGTTAAATCATAGTCAATTCATCTGAACACTTTATGGATATTTCAAGTTTATCCTAAAGGGATGTCCTTCAGGGGTGTGATTCTGGAAGCAGCCTCACAAGCCTCAGACTGCTCCAGGCCAGATCACCCAGTAGGTAGCTGTACTGGGAAGTGGAGTGCCAGGCATTACAATATCACATGCCAGGGCTGGCTGAGTTCAGAGAGAAGCAGAGAAGTTGCAATTCACTGCTCGTATTCACCAAAAACACAAAGATAATGACTTGTGAACAAGGACAGAGAGGTCAGACACGTTGTGCTTCCTTCACATGGGGATGTGAAGGGAGTCCAATGCTGTGGTGGTGGGGAAGAAGGTATAGCCATCCTCTTCACAGCCAAGCCAAGCTCTTGGGAATCCTGGGTGAACTGGACCCCTCACAGTAGCACCTCTTCAGTGATGTCAGTTGCATGATACATCTGGGTGGTTATGAGCATCCTCAGGGTCGTCTCCAGAGAGGTTGAAACAATGTATATAAAGTAAACATGACATGTAACTCAACAATGTATCAGTGAGATGGAGGCAGTCTTAATCTTGGCGATCCCCTTGCATCCAAAACAAGTCAAGGAAGCGCCACAAGCTTTTAGTATCTTCCAGAACTTTCACAAACCAGCTGACACCAGCTGGGCTCAGGAATGATCTTCTGGTGAATGCCTGTTTTGCAAGCTTTCGTTTACCCTTCAGAGATGGCAGTTTCACTGTTTGTTCATCACTAAGCACCAGTATGGTCCTACAGGTCTGCCACAAGGTGGTCAGCCAATCAGTAGGAGCCATGGAAGCACCGGAAGGTGACGAGACCAATCACATCCTCACTCACTCAGAGCACCTCCTACTGGCACTAGTCACAGTAGCAGCATTTCCATTGACTTAGATTTTGCACATTTTCATTATGTTGAACTGATAAACTGTTAATGGTATCATTAAAATATAAAAAAAAAACCCTCAAATTTCACAAGAGAAGTTTTAATATTCTCTTGAGGTGGTTTTTGTGGTGAGTCAAAGAAATTTGCAAAATGGTGATGGAAACCAAATTTTTGAATTAGTAAACACAAAGCACGTGACCTCAAGTGTTTAGCTAATAATAATTAATTCTTTTTTGAGCTAGTAACTTGTGGAAAGCCTGCTCCCTGTCCCCTTATGTCCATACCCAAATCTATGCTTTTGATCTTGTGGGATGATAAATGGCCAGTATTATTTGCATGACATCCATTAATGGAAACACACCCTTCGTATTTTAACATAGAAAGTTTGCTTTTAAGTTGTGCAAAACTTGAATGGAAACATGGCTACTGTCTAGTTATCTGTTCACTGGAGCAACTCTAAAGCAGGGGCGATTCTAGGATTCTTTTTTTAAGGTAGGAGCACAAGAGGAGCATAATTCGAACTGAGGGGCCCACCTTATCATTAGCTAATGATACATTTTGAGTAGGTGAGTAATGGGGGAGAGGGCATTCTGGTGGCCAATCAGCTTTCAGGTAGGGCCAGATCCCTGTATATGCCCCTGCTCTAAAGTGTTCCTCAAAAAGAACAGCCATCATTCGATTGTCTGAATGTTGTCTATTGTAAAAAAGATACCGAATTATTATTTTGGATACCCGATCATGAATGTGGTCCGAAAGCCAGGCCAGGTTTGATGCCTGCTGCCGTTATTGCTTTGCCAAGCAGGGTTTTGGCTGGGGGTACTGGCTATGGGACTGAATGCTGAGCAGCACCGCGGGGCGACGCCGTCACATTCAGGGGTGGCTCTCCCATGCAGCCTGCAGCAGAGGGACCACCTTCTGTCTTCCACAATGATCTCACATTTTAAAAGTGCTTTACTCATTGACATGACTCTATTTGGAGAATAATTCACATTCAGGCCGTGTGAAATGATGCACCTTTTTTGCCACCTTCACAGCTGAAGTAGCGAAAGTGGCCTCAGGACTCTCGAAGTCCCTTTTCTGAGTTCAGTTTCACTGGAGGTTCCTACAATGGCACCATAAAATAACTTGATATTCCTAAATCTTATCCTAGAAAATAAGCACCAAGGCCAGCTTCTGATTCTTTAGTGCATGAACCTCAGAAATAAAACGAAGTGCAGAATTTTTTTTTTTGCTTGGATGAACTCTACTCTTGCCTAAACTCACAGAGGCTATACACACAGCATGACTGCAGCAAACAGGACCACTCAGAAGTAACGTTTAAAAACAGCAGAATAAATAACCTTACTGAACATCCTTATTCAGTCTGCATATAAAAACGTATTTAAAACAGCACCTTTCTTTTCACAAACCACAGACAGAAAAGTTACATATGTACAGTCTCTATCCATATGTCAGTACTCACAGTTAAAGCCTCAAAACACCCCTCCACCCACCAAAACAGCTCAGAGTAACACCTGAAAAAAAAAACAGACACAGACAGAAGAGAGACGGGACAGGTGTGGCTCTGAGGTAAGGCACCTGTGCCGGGGCTCACACCGTCACCCTGGCCGGGACGGTCAGGCCCAGCGGTTGTAGGGGCCCGTGATCTTGGCCAGGGCATAAGGGGCCATGGTGACCATCGTGTCCTTGTTGAGGGTTAGCGCATGCCGCGTCGGCACATGCAGCACCTCTGGCTCCTCTGCAAAAAGCTCCTGCTTGGCCTCTCCGTCAGCCCCGCCCACTTTGGCCTTCATTGCCCTATACCTGGCAGGACTGAGGGGAGCCCCGCCCCAGGCCACACCCTGGGAGTCGCTGCCCAGCCGCTCCGCCTCCTCACACTCGCGTGCTCGCTTGGCCATCTTGGCCTCCCACAGGGCTAAGCCGTGGCAGGGCTCATTCAGGTTCTTGTGCTGGTAGAAGACGAGCGATATGCGTGTGGGGTGCGCACGGTCCGGCTTCTTGATGGGCGTGGTGGCGTGCAGCTCCCGCCGTGCACACTCAATCAGGATGGAGCCATGTGAGGGGGCCACCGCCACCCCCCCAATGTCTCCGTCTAGGAAGTTGTGCTCGCTGTCTGACCACACCTCCCGTGCCGGCATGCTGTGCCTGCCCTGCTCACACCTCTCTGATTCGGCTCTGGGACTGGGGTGGCCCTGCGGAGGCTCTCCCTGCTGGTGACCAGGTGGGTCCCCGGTGCGGTTATCAGTTCCTGGGTTCCCAGCATGATACGGTAGGAGCAAACTGCTTTTTAGGGACTCCGGAAAGCCTGGCTCCCCTTGCGAGGGGACGGAGAGGCCCGGTTGGACAGAGGATGCTTCTGCGCTTGAGCTGGACACAGGAAGTGTGGACCACTGGGGGGCACCACCTCTACCTGGTGCCACCTTCCTGGCTGACGATTGTTGTTTTGCTGATGTGTTTCTGCTACCTGTTCAGGTGAAACATACCTGTCAGTTGGAATACAGACCTTCTGGAAACTTCTCAGTTTTATCTATACATCCATGTCAAGTAAAGCTTTACTGTCATCGCAGCCATGTCCAGTACACAGTGCAGCGAAATAACATTCTTCCTGTGAAATAATACTGAGATCGGTGTGGCAGGGACACCGTGAGCCTAGCCCAGGCCGCTTAGGGCACAGGACAGGGATGCCAGTTCATCATAGAGCACATACACTCTACGGGAAAGAGAACGCTATCCTGAGAGGCACTGGTTATGGTGACCCATTACGCTACTGGTTATGGTGACCCATTACGCTACTGGTTATGGTGACCCATTACGCTACTGGTTATGGTGACCCATTACGCTTCTGTCTGGGCAGATACAGCTGGCCTTTGTCTTACCTGGGGTGCCCTGCTTCCTATATGAGACCTTTGTGGCCTCCATTTTCTTTCTGCGGGCGGACTTGACAGGCTCCGCCAGCAGACGCACCTCCCGGGGGAAGGCGGTGAGCACCTGCAGGGCCCCGGTCTCCACTTTGGCACGCTGACCTTCAGGATGGCCAAACTCATCTGTGTCAGAGATCTTGTAGAGGGGCAGAACGTGGAGCTGCTCATCCTCTGGAATGCTGTGCACCACACGGTTATCCTCCTTGGTTAAAGTGCAGACCTGCGCAATGGGAAACACACACACATCACCCAGCTTCAGCATCACCCAGCCTCAGCATTACCCAGTCTCAACATCACCCAACCTCAACATCACCCAACCTCAACATCACCCAGTCTCAACATCACCCAACCTCAACATCACCCAGTCTCAACATCACCCAACCTCAACATCACCCAGCCTCAGCATCACCCA